AAAGTGCTGCGAGAAACGGCAGTTGACAGAAAAGAAGTTGGAACAAGAAACGTTCGCCATTATGATTATGGTCACCGCCGAAAGTTTTTCCCCACACAGGTTGGACTCCTGGTTCAATTCATGGTAAACGAGTAGTGCTTTCAAGTTTCCGTCAAATCAATATTGATAGGAATAACACTTCTTCAAGCTTGGCTCTGCTGGCCAGTAATGTAAAACCACATTTTTGTTTACATTTTATCCACTTTTGGCCTCCACTTGAGCTCTCACCGTCTTTCTTTAATGTCCTTAGCGCTTCTCGGTCAAAGGATCGGAGCCGAATTAAGGCACTCATTGTTTAATGGTCGCTGCGGTTTTCTCATGAGAACATAGCTGGAATTAAGAGAAGGTGACCTGGTTAGAACTATCCTCCGGTAGTGATAAAAGGATTGGCAGCAAGTTTTGTGTTGAAGACAAACGTGAAAAGAAAAGCACACGATGTACTGGTGGTTACCTAGTAGCTACCAGTACTACCAGTAACTAGTACAACTAATAATAAGACAATTGTATACCGTAAATGGATTGGAAATAACCACGCATAACCCTCATTGAACTGCTTTGCTTCATTCACATGAAGCCTAAAATTCAAAAACTATAGAGTAAATGTACAAAGCGCCACATGTGAAAGTTGAAAGGCACAGTTTACGATAAAAATCGTTCTTGAGATTTCCCTATAGTATGAATTTGAGGCTCCCCTTACACCATACATGTCATTATAAGGGCGAAAAACGTCTTAGATAGGGCACAATGCGGGGCCAGAGACATCAGACATGTATCCTGTGGATGCCACACCCATAATGGACGAGTTTTAACGACTTTGCAGAGGCCGCACCATTCAAAAGGGAACCAATGTAGGAAGTTCAAACAACTTGTCATAACCCATAGCGACAGTGAAAGGCAAGTTTGGACAGTTGTGGTTAGCTCTTTGCACGATGNCTCGGTCAAAGGATCGGAGCCGAATTAAGGCACTCATTGTTTAATGGTCGCTGCGGTTTTCTCATGAGAACATAGCTGGAATTAAGAGAAGGTGACCTGGTTAGAACTATCCTCCGGTAGNAGTTGTGGTTTGATGTAGTCAGCTCTTTGCACGATGAGAGCAAGTTAAATCTCGTCCAAAAACTCCTTACATGCCATTACCGTCACGGTGATCTCGTACTACCTCCATTCCACTACTTTTAAAAAGCTTGAAATATGCGGATTTCCTCTCTCTCTTCACCACCGATGTTCTCCTTTACATCAACACTTTCGCTTTCCAACCTTAAAAGGGTACCTCAAAATTTATCGTGAACTGGGCCTTCAAGAAGCGGATTACGCCCAGAGTTGATTAAAACTATTACAGCGGAGAAGAATGCATAAGTTTACTGGGAAGACGTCCGGCTGGTGCGAAGTTCTTAACCAGTCTTCTGGGTAGTTCGAGATGCTTATTAGGTGTTTTTAAGCCAAAACTCATCGGTATAATGAAATCATCATTTTCCGAATTAGAACTGGCATGTAACCTAGAGTTAAAAGTGGTACTGGTAGTTCACGATAAATTTGGAGCATCAGTTTCAGACGAGTAGTCGAAGTGGTATTCCAAAGTAGTGCAAAAGGAGAAGAAAACACGAAAATCGGTGTATTCAAAAAAATAGGCTGCAATAAAGTAGTGAAAGAGGGCTTGGACAAAACTGTGCCGACAAAAACTGCATGAAAAGGTTTTTGGACGAGCTGTCCAAATGCATGCGCCATATAGTACAACCGGCTACAGTAAGGTGCCTGCGTGCAACGTATGCGTCCCGGTGCGAATGGTGCAACATCTACAGCCTCTAAAACGCCGCAAGAACACGTTTGCCTATAAGCGTACGTCGGCCAAGCGGGTTTGCTGCCCTTATTACGCCCTGTCTAAATCGTTTTTTGATCCAAAGGTGTCCCCTTATGTTATGCTTTCGGGTCACAGGATCTTCATCATAGGGAACAATTTAAGGAACCGTCTATCGTGATTTGGACCTTTACAGACGAAGTGCGCATCATTCAGTACGATTGAAAGTGAATCATATTTCGCTATTTCTCGCTTCTACTACCCAAGCAAAATTTCTGGAAAAGTGCCGTGAGCCATTTTTCATTGTAGAAATTGTGAAAATTCTTTAATGACGGTTTTAAAACTACGAAATTTTCACTAAAAGATTGTAGCCACAGTTTTCAGTTGAATCTAATCAAATCACGTACGCGTGCAGACAGTGGGTATGATGAGTAGATGAGCACAGAGAAAGGAGTGATTGGACGACTGGTTTGTCTCACACCAGAAGTGATCTCCCACTTTTTGAGATTGTCAGTTCAAGAAAAAAAGGGATTGAGAAGAAGAATGATCAATTTTACTCAAACATCGGATTTTGCCCCAATCAGATAGTAGTTCTGGTTAGGAAAGGGAAATGCTGGCATGAGCTTGGGCGAGCACAAGTAGTACATTGCAGTACAGCTCACATCTGGCCTCAAAGTAAATCGGTAGAACTGAGAAAAAGAAACTTTTCATGAACACATCGTCAACAGGTAGGTAGCTTGGTACCATCCATATGCTTTTTAAGAAGCTTCCTAGCTCCCCAGGTGACTATTGAAAGAAGTTATCGGTGCAAAAGTGGAACATACTTTTGAGAGCGGCCGCTTCGCGTCCAATTTGGGTGAGACCTTCAGTCAACGACTCGACTTCGGACATCCGCAACTTTCGATTGCTGGTTAACACACTGCTTCGCACGCTTTCCACGTTGTTCTCAAACCTTCTATAATCGTCAGTGATGTATTCCTCGAAACTGCACTCTGACGAGTGCTTCGTCAACTTACGTGAGACCTTCGAGCAGTCGAATCAATCGATCTTCATGGTTTTTCCTTTCTCTGATTTCGCTCTGTTTTTGTGGTGAACGAGAGCCCTCGCCGCTCGGCTGAAATCGATATTCTTTTCAGTTTCTTCTGGAAAAATCTAAAAATGACACCTACTGCATTCACAACGGGAATCACTATTTTTTGAGAGACGAGTCTGGTTATTTCCTCGGCTGCTTCGCTGATGAATTTTCGAGCATTCTGTGCATTTATCTGAACAAATTCTAATGTTCTATCGCTCTGGTGAAGACAATGTGATGTCCAACCTGGGCGACTCGTCTCAGCTGCTTCATGTCAGTACCAGCTTGCTGTAATTTCTGGCGAAGATGATCGAGTTGGTGTTGAGTATGCGATGAGAGACTGTCCGGTAACGAAGGTGGTTCTTCAGATGCGGCTCGTTCGGCGTCAGGATGAAGTGCAAGGATCTAAAAACAGACGACTACCGAGGTGCATCTGCAGAAAATGAGCTAATGATACTTCTCTCCGAAGATCGGCCATATCTCTACGGCTGCTTTCGCTCATTCCTTTGCTCACCAACGCTGAATGAACAAGGCTTGACAAACCAGCCAGCTGACGCTCCATTGTCTCCATACGAGCCCTGCACATGAAAAACGACTGAAGAGGATGTGTTGTTGAAAGGATACGATGTAAGACAGCTGAGTGGGACAACTCACATTAGCCTTCTTAATTTGGTCATGACAAGAGGGGGTAGGCTGAGGATAGCGCTTTGAGTGTCGCAGCAAACGCGGAACTCATGGGCGTTGAGAGGTCTCGATTTGTCATAAACTAATGGGGCATTCGGGCCATGGCCGACTAGCTGATACTGTATGAAAAACGACAACGGCGATCGTTGTGCAAAACGTGTCTCGGGCATGATGGGATGAATGAGTTATGGAGGCGCGGCACGTTCTTAAAGGCTGCGTACATCACAGGTGTTCTTCAGAGCTTTTGGGTAGAGAGTACGAGCTTGTCACCTGGATTCTCGGTCGATAACCGGTGTTGCCGATCCGCTTCTTGTCACCGATCGCGAGTCATGACTGCTTGTGTCACTGCTGTACGAGTCGTACGGCTCGTAGCTCTTTCGCGAAGATTTACGATAGTCTGAATGAGCCATCGCGGATGCTGGACGAGCCAATGAGACGAATCTGAAAAAGGAGTCTTGAAAAATATGAAATATGGGTTTACCTGAACTTGTAATGAGGAATAAAGAT